TTTCTTGGACTGATCGGGCTTCTCTCCCGACTTCGGCGGATAGCCATGTAGCTTGAAGCAAGTCTCACGAAAATGGCCTGATTTTTGGCAATGATTACAATAAGGGCGGCCGTCAGCATCCCGCTCCCCTTGCCCCGACGATGGAGAACGCCCAGGACCTGATCGCCGTTCACCCCTTGCTTGGAAGACCGCCGCTTCAGCCTGCGGACGGCGAAGATTAGCCACTTGGCGTTGCTGCTCATCGTTAACAATCATGTGATAAGCCTCGACAACGCTCGGAAGTGGTTTCATAGCGAGAATATGGGATTTGATTGTCGAGAAGACTTCCTCAAGTCCCATGAGAAAATCGAAGAGTCGTTCCACTTCACGTACTTCACGCGAACGCCTCTGGACATCGCAAGTGCACTTGTTACAGGTACACTCAAGCGAGGGAGCTAGGGACGCAACTTCATCCCAGTAACCACGGAGCTTAGTGTAATATGCGGCAACCGAGGATTTTTCTTGGTGAAGAGCTCCGATCGTGCGACGCAGCTGGTAGAGTCGTGGTGCACTGCCATGGCCGAACCTGGCTTCAAGATCCATCCATATTTCACGAGCTGTTTTGGCAAAACGTACGCTACTACGTACATCTTTACTCATGGACGTCTTCAGCCAGCCTTTCACCATGGCGTCACATTGTTTCCACGCGTTGAGTTGAGCTGGATCCGTAGGAGCTAAGATGGAACCATCCACAAACCCTAGTTTGTTTTTGGCCAATAGAGAATCAGTGATATCACCGATCCATTCACTGTAGTTGAGCTCAGTGAGCAACTCGCCCGCATATAAATGGCTTGGGCTGTCTGATTGATGGAGAAAGAAGGGTGACGATGAGACAGCAGCTTTGGAGTCGCTACTGCTGCTAGAGGTCGTGTGATCTTCACCGGCCATGCTTGAGAAAGCTGTGGAATCGTATCACAGCTCTGATACCATGAAGAAAACGTAAATCAAAGCAAAGACACAGCGAGATTTACGTGGTTTCCCCGTTCGATGTGAACGGGACTACTCCACGGAGAGTTTTCACTCTCAGGATCGATGAGATTATGATTATGATTGTTAGGGTTTACAGCCGAGAGTCTTAACCCTTAAAAGAGAGAAGAGAAGGTAAGAGAGTCCGCTTCTACCAAAGCTACGCGGACTTGATAGGGAATTTACAAAACAATCCCAATGAAAATAAAATGTGACAAATAGGACATGTAACAAAATAGATAAATAAAAATTCCAATTCTATAACATATTCCAATATTCCATGGAGTTGGTAACGAGAGGTATGAAATCACCCATAAATTTTTGGATCCAATAGATCATGATTAAATCGTTTATTCTGTGCAAAAATTTCTAAAAATGACTTAAAAACGAACCATATTGTATTGAGTTGGTAACGAGAGGTATGAAAAATTTTTTCTCAAAAAATATTGAAAATGGATCTCATTTTGTAGAGCACAACGAACTCGTTTCATCTGTGCAAAAAAAAAAAAAAATCTCCAAGTTAGAATGAAGAAGATATGACCCGATTAAGAAAAATAGGGGAAATACAAAGTCTTTAATTAACAATCCTTAGATATGCAGCCCACTTAAAAGGAAGGGTCTAGATTTGGTTACTCATGTTAAGCACTCTAAGGTTTTGCACCCTAACTTGAGCCCTCTGTGGGCGAACAATATTCCTCCAACCCCTTCAGTTTCAGCAATCGGAAAAAGGGAACTATGGCGACCATAACTGGTGCTAGGGATGGCAATTCAGATCCACTCTGTTGAATTTTATCTGATCTACTCTATAATGGGACGGATTTTATCCGACCCGTTCTAATACAGAGCGGATCATGCCCCGACCCGTGATAAGAATGGAGCGGACATGGATATCATTGTACAATCCGCTCTGCTCTGCCTCTGATAACACTAAAGGCGGGATTGGATCAGAGTCACGCAATCCAAACCCAAAAGAATTGAGCTTCTTGATTCACGGTGAACAAACAGGGTAACTAAACAAGCTTGGGAAGCTTGTTTCGTGATGAAGCGGAATGGAAACGAGAGGGAATCCTCACACCTGGGAGGATGCACAGTCGTTATAAGGTTACATTCGAGTGATCGAGTGAGGTTGCTCGACCAATAGGCCAAAGTTCAGCAAGTTTTGATCGCAACCAAAACAACTCACAACTCAAAACGTTGAGAATTTGGGATTTTCTTCACAAAACAATTCTAACTTCAAGATTGATCCAATTGGGATCATATCAGCCTCCCTCCGAAAGAAATCCATACGGCCTAAATTTTATATCCATAATAATCTATTTATCTATTACCACACTTCACTAGGCTGCAAGTCTTTCTCATTTTCTAGAATTTTTATCTAAATTCACTCGCATGTAAAAGGGTTAATATTTTCGTATGGCCTGAACTTTGACAAAAATAAACATCCTGTCCAATCTTTTCGATCTATAACATTCTGGCCCGAACTATACACCAAAATAAACAATTTGCCAAACCCGATGTTTGACCGTTAACTTGGACGGTCAAACGCGTTGACTAACGGTCAACGCGCCACGTCACTGCCAAGTCAGAAGATCTGATAAATATTTAATTTTTTTCGTTTTTTATTTTTGGTTTAACTAAGGTATTAGATGATTTTTTTAATTTATAATAATTTAAAATTAGAGAATGTGTGGAAATTGTGAATTATTTTAAATATTTTATGCTGACTTGGCAGTCACATGGCGCGTTGACTAACGGTCAACGCGTTTGACCGTCCAAGTTAACGGTCAAAAGTCGGATCTGGCCAAATTGTTTATTTTGGTGTATAGTTCGGGCCAAGATGTTATAGATCGAAAAGATCGGCCAGAATGTTTATTTTGGTCAAAGTTTAGGCCATACGAAAATATTAACCCATATAAAAGCTAGAGTCTAGTGACCCAAATTAATTAAATGCATCATATTTAATTCTATGGCCCAATCCCCACCATCGCCAATTCCCTTCCCAAAAGCGCTAAGAATAAGATAGAGAAGTAATAAGGTAGGGAGCCTCTTTTTTTTGGTAAGGAAACGGGCGACAGAGCGCCCAAAAAACTAAGGGGGAATGAGTCTGGGAGTTTGACTCCCTACAAGATCGAAGAGCAGCCAGTGCCGCAGCCGGTGGTCGGGTACCAGAATCGGATGAGTCCCGAACTGTAACTCATGTCCTGTCGAAGTCAAGAAGTCCGCCACCACGTTGCCTTCTCTATAAATGTGCTTGATCCGCACCTCCCAGCTGCGTTGCATCATTCCCCTCACCTGCAACACAATATCGTAATGTGGGTGGGTATTCGTTGCTGTCTCGATGATATGAATCGCCGCTTGAGAGTCCATCTGGAGTATGATCTTCCTCACTCTCAGCTCCCAAGCGCACCGCAGCCCCTGGAGGATGCCCATAAGCTCGGCGCGGGTGATCGACCCACCGCCCAAGTTCATCACGAAGGCTCCCAGAAAGTGGCATTGATCATCGCGCACAACCCCTCCAGCCATCGAACTATGAGACGCCAATGCCACCGACCCGTCTGTATTAACACAGTCGTCGAACTAGGGAGCCTCTTTGACAAAAAAAAGGTAGGGAGCCTCTAGTTGCGAGCTGCCATCAAATTCTTGGCCCTACTATTTTCGTCAACAGCCACAGATCAGGGCGGAGCATGGAGCAAAGCGGGGCGTCATCTGGATGGGCGGGGCAGAGCACGGATATGGTGGTAACCGCCCCATTTCAGATCCGTTGCCATCCCTAGTTGGTGCAGTTGCTTCATGAATGTCGATGCAAGAGTACCTGATTAGACTGCAATTGAAGAAGAAACAACATTTTGTGTTTCGTGTCGCGCTTTCCTCAACCAGAGGGTAGTGGGTTTGTGGCTGCGGAGATTGAAGGTCAAAAGATTTCAGAGGCGGCGATGGGTGGGCTAGTAGTGGGTCGGGACAGTAATTTGAGCCTGTTAACTCTTCTTGAGGATTTTACTTCCTCGTTGTGCAAACCATAAGAAAATAGCTTCCCTAAATACCTTTCCGAGAATTGTTGTGGAGGTAGAAAATTTGAAATGGAGGTCACAGAGGGGTGGGCATTCGGTCGGTTCGGTTTCGACCGAATCGAAATTATGAATACCGGGTCCCCGAATTCTCCCAAACCTCAAACCGAATTATAATTCGGTTCGGTCGGTTTAAACCGAATTATAATTCGGTTCGGTTTTTCATACAAAACTGAATTTGTGAAGCTGCTTGTATTTTCTCACTTTTAAATTATTTTTCACCCCTAATATAAACAATAAATATCAATTATATGCATCGTCAATGATAAAGCCAAACTTTTCAACACATAAGTCATAAAACATTTCAAATATTTAAGTCTAAAAACAACTACAAACATAAAAATCCACCATTTGGAGTTTGCAATTATAGTATTTCGATTTTTCGGTCGAAAATTTGGAAATTCGGTTCGGTTGAAAGAACCCTGATTTTCGAACTATCCATATTTTCCTTCCGAATTCCAAACCGAATAGTATTAATTCGGTTTCGGTTCGGTTCGGGTTTACCGAACCGTTTGCCCACCTCTAGGTCACACTATTTACAAGATAAATTTAAATTAAATATTAAACTACAACAAAAATAATCAAAATATGAAGTCAAAATATATTTAGTGAATATTTAATGAGATAGCTTACCGTTGGAAAATCTTAGAATTTTCTGATTTTAGTTTTGTGTTTGCTAATCTATTTTATGCGATTGTTACGACCCTTCTTTATTCTGAAATGATGCTAATTCAAATCCCTGTATCATTTTTGTTGGGAGATTTGAAATGGAAGTCACTACAATTGTGTTCAATCCCATACTATTTTTGAACTTGTTATAGAAAAATATGTAGTTAACCAATTTACATGGCTGCCACTACCACATCGAAAACCAGTGTAAAGAATACTCACTTCATATTTGCCATTCACAGCCTCTGCAGCTGTGTTCGTAGAAAGGAGAGATGGTTGGCATCTCCCCTGACAGGGACGGGAACGGCTTTCGGGCCTTCTTGTTACCAGCACACCCGGTTAAGGCTTTCCACCCTAGAGGTGGATCTTCAACCCAATTTTTTCACCTTCCCTTCTGTTTTCCCGTGCGCTCCAGAGATGGATTTTACAACCCGTTTTGCTATCTCTAACTCGGTGGGTTTTTCATTCAGTTGAATTCTCGATATCAATTCACTAGCACAAGCTCTGCATCCGGGGGCAAACTTCGCATTCAATCTCTCGTTGCATCAGATATAGTTTGTGGGGGAAAGGTACGCACTCCAACTGTTTGATCAAATGCTTCTGTGAAGGACATTTATATTGCTGAGTGAGATTTTCCCGGAACTTACTTTGGCCCTCTGGGAACCCCCAATTGGTTCATTGCAGAATTGTCTCGACATGGATGCAATTTCATGTTAGCCAATGCTATCGAAGCAGTCTCTAATAGAATATCGGCAGCTCGGCTTGGGAATATAAGCCACTTAGATATTAATATGCTAGTAGCTACAACTTCTCTATCCTGGAAGTGATAGTTGAGGTTCAAGTAAAGCAGCCACCTGAGTTTCTTTAGATGTAGAAGATTCTTTCATTTTATCTCATGGCCCTTTAGATAGAATCTAGATGGCCAACACAATAAGCTAGCTGATGGTTCCAACAGGTTAGATGTATCTTCTTTACTTTTAAAAAGATAGTTAGGGTTTTCTGATGTCTTTTCTCATTTAATTTGGTCAGGGTTTGTGGTTTGATCGGGATTATGCCTTGTGAATGCTGCCATGTCTGAACACATTGTTCTGTGCTAACTGCTAAGCAGACAAGGGATTTCGCTGTAAAACAACTTTTGGATCTTCCTAAGCCGAGCTTGCATGCAGTGATTGGAAGTTTCCCTGTCTTAAGATAATACCCGGTGCATTTTTCAGAACACATCTTGAATATTTTTGGTAAAATCTGAATGGTGAATGCTGAATAGTGCCATGATATTGTTTTTAGTCATCGCAGACTCATAGTTTAGTAATAATTGTAGAACATTCCTCTGATATTGGTGGGTAAATTTGTATCCAAATGATTGTATGTTGTTGTTCCCATCAAATTCAGGGGAACTAGTATAGTAGATAGCTTCTTTGCTCTGTCTCCTTGCTTTTACCGTGAGAACACTGTGGTAGCTAGATGCATTAGACGTGAACTCTAGCGATCACTCTGTGCTTACAAGTAGAATCTGGGTTGTTAATCATGTTCCTCTCAGTTGAACTAACATGGTGGATGTTCTGTATATTTACTCTCCTTGCTTTTATTGCATGAGAACTACTGAGTCAGCTAGATGTATTAGTCTAACTCCCTGTCAAGTGAACTCCTAGGTGTTCATTATTTCATTATGAGCAGATCTTGTGTTGTTAATGTCAATTTTGCGTGCCAGACTAGAAGTAATGAGAAAGAAGACAAAAAATGACACTTTCATATCGAGGCCTGAAGCTATCAAGATTCTGAAAGAAGTTCAAAAGGTGGAGAACAAGTTGACTATGCTGCTCCTGGCAAACACTTCCTTAGAGTTTGGTTATGGGGTGAAATATCTGCTTTCTTTGAATTTGGATTTTTGAGTTTTCTTTTCCAAGTCGAGTCTGGAACATTTGATATAAGAAACTAATATAATATTTGGTTTATCGATTTAACTTTGTCATTTTTAATGTCAATTTCAGTATCGTGATGGTATCACTCAGCATTCTGTCAAGACTTCTACTAGTGGTACGAGACAAATAATGTGATTCTCTGCTCAATATCAGTAACTTATCACTAATCTATAAGTAATGAGTTTATGAGGCTAAATTAGTGTACGCAATCACTAATCTATAACTAATGTTATAGTCTTTATCACTAATCTGTATTTATTATTGCTTGTTCTATGCTTCAGAGTTATGTGCCATGGTCTGATGTGCAAAAGGCGTGTCTTCTAGCTGTTGTCCTGGCTGACATGAGTAGTGGCATTAACTATCTTGCATATGGAGACTGGATTTTATCAGGTTGGTGTCACCTTAAAATCAGCTTTCTTCTTCAATAAGTCGTCACCTCGTGCTTACCAGTGCTAGTAGTAAAGTCTCGGAGACTTACCAGTGCTAGTAGTAAAGTCTCCTTTTCTTCTAAGACTTACATTGATGAGCAGTGGCACTTAGCAGTAGCAGTAGTAACAAAGCTGGTTTGAGAGTGATTTATTTTTATTGTAATGTGACAGAGGGAACAGTTATTTATTTTGATCAATGATAGATGGTATAAGAATGGTTTTTTTCGTTGTATGATTGGTTTATATTGATTGAATCATTTTAACTAAAAAGCATAACTAAAAGTAGTGGTGATATTGGTCAATCGGCTGATGACACTATCAAAGCCATTTAGCGTCGGTTACATTTTGTTTACCATCGATTACTCGGTGATTATTTATTTTTGGATTGTTTACATTCACCGTCGGTCAGTGATCGCCATGGAAAAATTTAGTGTCGCAAGATTCGCCGACGGACATTGTTGACCGTCGGATAGAATCAGCTCTACATTCATGTTCTGTTGTAGTGTCAGGATGTAACTTCCTATGTCATGATGTTTCATTTCTATGCAAATGCTGGGCGATCGGAAGATGTTGCGAGGTTGAGAAACTTGATGAGGAAAAGGGAATTGGAAAAAGCTGCCTGGTCAGAGTGCTGCAGAGGTAAATATTCGACTTCATAGGTTTCTAGTAGACTCAAAACCTCGACCTTCTTGGCCTACTGTGTGATCTTAAAGAAGATTATTTACCCTCTGTCATAAATAAGAAGCTGCATTCATACACATCCAAATCATGAATTAAGGCACTTTTGCAGTAGCTTCCTGTTGACATTTATTTCCCCCCCACCCTGCTTTCCTTCATATGACTACCTGCTAAATGTCTAGTTATTGCTTGAACCAACTAATGTTCTTTCCTTCTCCAGGTCTGCTACTACCCTTTTTATTTCGATTTAAAAATCATTATTCCTACTTCCCGCCATCTAAACGTGTAACGACCAGCTTTCCCTTCAGCTTGTAGATAGATAAACCCTGCCCTAATTCTCTCTTTTCTCCTTTCCAAAAAGCTAATACCCAAAATCAAAAGTAAACTAAAGTAAAGCTATCCATCCTTGTCTCTATCTTCTTCATGTTCCTTGCTTTGTCTCTGGGTCTTCTTCTTCTTTCACTTTCATTCTTTGCTTCTTGCTATTGCATTATGATGCATCTTCCTTTATTACTCCTGTCCTCTAAATCTGAATCTCCTCTAATTCCACGTCACTTCCCACATGTTGTCACTTCAATCACAGGCTCCCTTCTCTCTCTCTCTCTACTTTAGGGTGACTTTTCCTTTTCTCTCTTTCAGTATATACAAAAGGTTGCAGGAGAGGGATATTCATTTCTGTGCATCTGCAGTCCCATGCACATTCATAATCTAATCTAGTCTAGTCATCAAAGCAACAAAAAAGGGAGGAAACAAAGTAAACATTTAGAAATTTTGGTGGTGTTTGTTGTTGTTGTGGTGGGTCTCAATCTTCTCTTTGTTAATGTGCTGGGAAGAACAGTGGCGAGGGATCTCTTTTGAGCTTCCCATCCATGACTCTTACTTTGCTCATCTTCTCTTCACACCAATGCAATTGCTGCTCGCTTAGATCGCTGGTTCTCAGTACCCTCGACACCACCTGGAGGTCGATCAATCCCATCAGTATCTCCATCTCTTCCTCCACCTTCAGTTTCCTCTTCCTTAGGCATTTCCCGGACCGCCGTAGATCCTTCAGCTTCATCTTCTTCTGCAATATTGCAGAAAGTTACAGTTCAGTTAAATAATGTGAAATTGCCCGGGATCATGAATTATATTGACCGAACTTTTTGTTTTTTACTTTTCTGTTGACTTTCTTCATCAGATTGAGGAGTGCGGGATCGACCAAGGCTCTTCTGTTTCTCTTGAAGAATGATGCTATAATCTGGCAGGGCCTCTCCTTATCAGCCCTGAGAAAGCACATGAACGTCCGAATCCCGTCTTCCATAATCATCAGGAATGCAGCTGATGTGATTCTTGAGCTGAACCCTTCATCCTTCTGATCTTCCTCGGTATCTTTGACACACAAATGTACAGAACCAAAAGTCAGTAATTGAACAGTAAGTAATGCTGTAAACAAAGGGGGTAGAAAAAAAACAGGGGTGACCTGCTTACCTCTGTATTCTGGAACGAGAAGCAACTTGGGTGCCAAAAGCCTCATCCTGGCATAAACCTCAGGCCTCCTTCCTTGCTCATATGGCTCATTCTCGACGTACCTCTGAAGAAGAACTTGAAACTGCTGGAACTGTTGCGCTATATGGGCCGGGCAGCCTGGATCGAAATCACGCTCTGTAGCTCTCTTGCGCAGGAAGCTGATGTAGTTCCAGTTGAGCGCTTCCCAGGTCAAGCAAATCTGAGCTACGTAAGCAGATTCCAGCTCGTGATAAGGATTCTGCCGTAACTCGGAAGGTTTCTTGTTAATGGTCGCAATCTTGTGCACTATCCTGTCCGAAATCGACCTCGGGCACACTTTTATCGACCTCAGCGACTCTGGTTGAAAAGAAAAAGATCCAGACTTTGATCCTATAAATCACGAAACAGGGGGAATCGGGTAAAACAGAGTGAGTGAGCAGCAACAGCAATGAATTTACCTGTTTCCTGAAGCTTCTGGGCGCTGATTCGGTTGAGGAAGATCATTTCCTCGTCGTACTTCTGGAAAACGGTGTAGGATTCCCATTTGGGGCAGCTTCGTCGGGAAGAAGAGGAGAACGGGTCTTCTGTGCCCGAATCCTTAATCGAGCTTCTCCACTCGGTGGAGCTCTTTGACGTGGAACCCACGGTACACGAATCCCCGAATATCTCCTCTCGTTCGTCGTCGCGGTCATCGTCGTCGATAATGTCCTTCCACTGAGTTGCTTGATGAACAAACTTCCTGGAATCCAACTGGGTCGGCTCGAAGACCAAAAACTTCTCCTCCACCTCGGTACGAAACTCCTCTGCTTTCTCCTTGTTCTTCTTCCTAGAGTCTTGCTTCTCTGCAACGTAATCAGAAATGTTACAACAAAAGAACAACACAGGCAAAAGGCTGAAAAACAGGACGAACCCGGAAGATCTGTACGTAATGTAACTGACGGGATTTTGGTACCTGCGTAGGTTGCGTCAGGGTCAAGAAAAGCAGAATGGGTGGTGGTTTCTTGGAGGTTTATGGTGACCCGTGATGTGGGTCCTTGTCGATTCGGGACAGAATCAGGGAGAGCATCAGCATGATGATTATCTGCCGTGTGAATCTGTGTTTCGTCTTCGACGTCGCCGGATTCTGATCCTGGTGACGAGCCAAGGACCGACGAGAACAGTTCATCACTAGTACCACTGCCATAGCTGCTCCCCTGGTCTTCTTCTTCTTCCTCTTCGGGCAACAGGGTCGGGTCGATCAGGAACTCGGTAAACCCGAATGGGCTGCGGCTCTGGTGGTAGTAGGCATCGTTGTGGTCCTCTTTTTCTTCTTCTTCTTCTTCTTCTTCCTCCTCTTCTTCGTCGGAGGTGAGGACGTACTCTTCGGTGGGATCTCTGCATGGAAGACAGAAGTTGTAAGTTAAAATGAAACCATGAAGGGCAGAGAAGGAGAGCTACTTGTTATGATGTTAATGGCGGTGAGCGAGGGAGGACCTGTAGAGGATTGGGTAGCTGCCGATGAAGGTGAGGAAGGTGAGGAGAAGAGAAATGGAGGAGTAGAGGAAGAGGAAGAGGAGGAGGGAGAAGCTGGAGGCATTGTAGAACAGCCAAACGAGCCTCTCTTTTGAACAATGTTGCATATTTTTTTTGCGAAAGAGAGGAGGAAATGGATTTGAGTGCGCCTATCAACTTTGAGACCCTCTCTCACTAAAGCAAAGGCAAAGCAAATTAAGCAAAGAGCAAAACCCACTAAGGCAGAAAGAAAAGGTGGTGTGGTAAGGTAAGCTCTGCTTTAGTTTGCCTTCATACCCTTCTTCCCTTTTCTTTTGGGGGTCCTTTTTTGTTTTTTCATGTATAATCAAAATCCTTTTCTTCTCCATTTATATGGGTTTGCTTTTTCAAGTGGGGGAAATGACGATTACATCCTTCTTTTAGTTTGTGTTTGTTGTCATATTTTGACGTTGTGAAGTTTTGCCACTTGGGGAGTGATGAAGTTAATGGATGATTGTATATAGATGAGTACATGTGGTCTACATCTTAAGGTTGGCATGATTATGATCATGAACTCATGTAAATCAATCATTGCTAGATGGGATATACAATTAAGTTGTCAAATAATATAATATGAATTTGGTTTGACCACGCATTTGATCGGGTGGTAGTCGGTTATCGGTTAGTCGGTCAATCGTAAAACCAAACCAAAAAATTGGTTAGTCGGCTAACCAAAAACTATCAAAGATTTCAGTTTACATATTTTTGGTTATTAGTTAACTGCCGATTTTCAATTAATAATCGATAAAAGATCAATGCACCGAAACCTGATCGACCAATTACCTATAGGAAGTTAAATGATATTGAAGCTAGAGATCTATATGTATGGTTTTCCTTATATTAAATTAAACAAGTTGATGTGTCGATATATAAACTTTGGATGGACAATGTAACACAGACAAAGTGACTATCATTCCTTAGTCCAAAATTAAAAAGATGTATAACTCACCCAATAAATTTCAGTCATACCCAAAGTGGACTTTTATTCACATTCTATCATATTGAGAAGTGACCAAAAAGAGAAGTTTCACCAATAAAGCATAGGGAATCCATACAACGCAATCAAACATCAAGACATATACACAACTCGTTCATGCATATATCTCTTACATAAGAGATTACTATGTGAAACCTCGTATCATAATAGATCAGGGGAAAGGCCAAAAGAGCAGAAAGAACAATTAAAACAAACCGAACCTAAGATCTCAGTCTCTTCAAGCTAAGAACTAACTAGAAAAAGCTAGCCTTATTCATTTGGAAAACCACCTAGAGAAAGAAAGGCATACAAATCAGCAATTAAAAAAATATCTTCATTTGGGGTGTAAGTAGTACTCAGACATCAAAGTAACCTTGGCCAAATTAAGGCTGAGTGCTATATCTATATTTAGACCCTTTATTAGTTTGGTTTGTCTCTACTCTCTACCTAATTACACAAAGATGCTTTGTGAATTATAATAATCATTTCCTTCATTACTTTGTAATTTGATTAAGTATATACCTCAGTTTAGGATATGATAATATGTATGTGGAGGTTACTTTTCTTGCACCCAAACTTGGATACTAGTTTGAGTGTTGAATGTTGTCTGTGAGCAAAAGCCAAAAGGTGTAGTAGTGTGTGTATCATCAGTCTTGCAATCCTTCTTGGTTCTATCCATCAACATATGTTCATAAATGCTAACATATAACGAAAAAGTGTTTGGACCGATAATCGTGAAATATTCGGTACTTATATGATTATATGCATGCGTTCATGGTGCATGGTTAAAACTGATATTTGTATTTTTATCTATAATTCGAGTTATTGGAACTTAGTGTTTCATGACATAATATTAGAGCTAATTTGATCCTGAGATCACATGTTCAAGTCCTCACGACAACTAGTATTATTTGTTCATTTAGATTTTAGAAAGCACATGGTATCACGTTCCTGTACAGATTTCAAGCCCATAAGTTGACTCTCGTTTGAGGAGGTGTGTAAAGAAGTGATTAATATCCATACATAGACCTCTACCAACAACTTGACATCGATACACGTGTTACGACATTAATACTTGCAAGAGTTTTATAACAAGTAAAAAACAAATCATGAATGTCGGATATCGATGAACTACTGATTTTTTTATTTATATTTTATGAAAATCTAATTTCATCTACACAATAAATAAAAGCCAAATGAGAAAATTTGAAGCCCCATTTCAAATTTCCTACATCTAGAGTGAAAGTAGGAAGGGTTCGTCGTCACAATAATTTATTATTTTCTTTTTTACAGAAATCTAGAGTGAAAGTAGGAAGGGTTCGTCTTCACAGTCATTTATTATTTTCTTATTTACAGAAAAAATACATCTGTTATGAGATTTGAACCATGGTCTCTTCGAACAAAGATAAGAAACATAATCAGTTACAATAAACACATTTCTGTGATATTTTTCAATTAAAAACATACAATAAGCTTGAATCTGAAAAATCCAAGGACTTTTACATCACGGTTAGCAACAAAAATATCATTGATTCAAATATTGCATATCGAATCACACTCTTGAATATGTAGAAGCGATGTATAATTCTTAACATAACTACCATAAAGTAACGATATTTTTAAACACAGAACTTTTGAGTGAATATGGGGCACATGTGCCTTTAAGAGAGGGGTAAATATGGAAAGGTTAAGTGATGTAGGTTTGCCGAACGCGGATGGAAAATACACTACTGATGTAAATGGGCCCAAATAGTGCCCCGACCCACTAAACGCTCAACCATCGCCGTGTCTCTAAACTTCCCATCAGACTCAACAACCGGCTAACCTCATCTACCTTTATTGTTACGTCAGAGCAATTTTTGGAGGGGTAAATATGGAAAGATTGAGCGTTGTTGGTTTTCCCAACGCGGATGGATAAGACGCTACTAATGTAAACGAGCCCAAATGGTGTTTGATCGACTAAACGCTCAACCACCCGGGTTACTTCCACTACATCTAATATAATAGTGAAATGGGAAATGTGCTTCCTCCATTACAAAATCCTTGCATCCATAGAAAAAGTAGGAAGGGTAGATTCGTCTTCACTGTCATTTATTATTTTCTTATTTATATGAAAAATACTTAAGTGATGAGATTTGAATTTTGATCTCTTTGAGAAAAGACAAGAAATATAACCAGTTACACTAAACTAATTGAAGTAGATACAAGATGGTTGTTCTAGAATTGTGAATCGTGATTGTATCCCCTTTAAAAACAATTGTCAAGTTAAGCTATAAAAGAGGCTAACCTGAGCTTCCTCTTTAATTTAGATGGTAAGAGCAATGACCCACGTCAAATTGATTGAGGGTTGACAATGCCTGAGAAACGGTTTAGCCTTCTTCGGAGTATCACAAGATCCTGATAGTATCTCAACCAAACCAATTTTTCTTTTCATGTCTGATGTTATTACAAGTTGTTTACCTAGAGGAGAGCCCCAACAAGTTAGCTTTTGGAGTTGCGATGCGAAAATGGGTAAGGCAGAAATGGTTTATACAAAAGGCCATACTATGATATAGAATGCGTTGGTAGAGATAGTCATCAATCTCATTTTATTGACGAAGCCACAGAGGAGAAGAGAGGAACCGCCATTGGTACTCTAAATTTTACGAAGATATTATAATGATCATTCCTTTCATTTCATGTAAATTTATATTATGACTGAAGTGATATTACCACAAGTCATAAATTGCAGCAAGGAATGGTCGTTTGAATTAATGTGCACTGATGCAAAATGTCATGTAGCTTCCATGAAGGAGTAAAAGTGGATCAATCAGTGTGTTTGTTGTCAAGAAGGATTAGAATCATGATAATGGGGAGGGTTCATGACGATTGACTTATACAGATTGAAGAGAGAGAAAGTACAGAGCTGTAAGTCATTTGTGTGTTTAGTGTAACAGAGTGATTTAGTAGGATTTCACAGTGGTATGGATATTGACAAAAGTTATTATGTGTTGGTGATCCAGTGATATATTGCTTGCATGTTTCTTTTGTTTGTATATGAGATTTGTACAGCAGAATGCATACTTTGTATTTTTTTTTTGTCATTTTAATTAACAAAACTATTTATCAGAAAAAACTGGCCGATGCATTCCATCGACTTGATTTGGACATTGTTGGTTTTTGTTTTCTCAACTACGGATTCATCGCCTTTGGTGTCACTGTGATTTTTGGTCTAAGGCAATCCAGATTGAGTTTTTCTTATGAAATCTCTTGGTGGCTTCCATTTTTACCATCGATAATTGGAACCAGGTAAGCATTCCTTTGATTTTTTCATATTCACTCTAGGGGCATAATGGTGCATGGCAATAGTGGCTATATTTAAGAGTAATGACTTGGATTGGATTGTCCATTATAGTGTTTATGTTTTTTTTTTGTAATGCAATGGGATAATGACGTACCATAATATTATTATATATGGTGGTGTTGAGTGTTGACCTACCTCCAGACATTGCTATATACATATTACCAGGTAATATAAATTAAAATTAAAGAATCAATTTTCGAGACTATGTTCGGCTAAGAGGCCGGGTGTAAACTAGTTTGAAAATAGAGATAAGTTATAGAATTTGGACCACGGTCGAGGAAGGCTAGAGTACAAGTTCAAGAGATATTGTAAAGCGCAAACGCAAAGTAACCATCAAACCCACTGTAAAAAGGACAAAAGAAAACTACACAAATGAAAATATACACCAAGCTCACATTAAACCAAACCAACACAAGTCCATACCACCACGTACAGATACATAGCCCCGGCCCACAGAAACCCTAGCCCGAAAACACCCAACCCAACAATCCACGGCCTGCCTCCTAGAACAGCCGCCGACCACCACCATTGAAGCTTCACTGCCGACCACCACCCCGTCGCCACAGAAGCAAGCACCATTAATCCTCCAAGGCTCCAACTAGCAGAACAGAGCACACATGAGTAGGGCTGCAAATGAGCCAAACTGCTCGCGAGCGTCTTGACGTTCGACTCGAGAAAAGCTCGTTCGAAACTCGACTCGTTAATAAATGAGCCGAATACGAACTCACCTTTGTTCAGCTTGTAAAGCTCGCGAGCTAGCTAGATCGACTCGGTGGCTTGTTGAGCTAAACTCGTGAGCTGGCTCGTTTAGAGCTCATGATATGTCTTAACATGTGGCTAGAGAGCCAACTCGATTACCAACTTATGGATGAATCAATATATATCTTATGATTTTAATTCATATGGTTGTTAAATTATATATCTCACCATATATAAAGTTTGACACGTTGAGTATGTGAGCAAATATATCTTATTTTCTACTTTAAAAAGAAATTATGCATCA